GAGGGAAACCCCTGTTGCCGTGAGTACCGCTGGGCACGGTGATCGCCCGCGGTGGGATCCGCGCCTGCATGCGACGGGGGGAGGGGGAAAGAAGTTTGTCAGTAAAATAAATGAGCGGGGTTACTCGCGTGTGTCGGGGCCGAGGCTGGAAACCGGTCAGCGCCTCAGCGTGAAGGCCGCGCGGGAGCCACGACCTGGCCTGTCGCGGCGGACAGGCGCAAGGCCCCGGCCCTCCTGCCGCCGAGGCGCTGATTCCTCCCACTGCTCCTGCCTTGGTTTTCAGCTCACGGGGCACGCCCAAAGCCTTCGCTAACAAACATAAACAGCGGCTGCTAGGACAACATCGATTGAAACCCGCGGCTTTAAACCACGGCTGTCTCTGTGCATCCCACTAGTAACACCTTCAGGTTATTGCCAAAGCACAGAACACACTTTAAAAGGCACTCGCTGATTGTTTACTGTTTGCGTTTCGCAGCTTTGGCAGAGGGTGAGCCAGTTTCACTTTCAGTTCTCAGCGCTGCAGCCCTTCAAACGGGAGAGGATACTTATTTAAAGCGTACGTAAGCGAAACAGTAAGTTTGAGTTAGAGTCAGAAAGTAGTCCCGATACATTAAATTAGGTTTGCTTTTAAAGGGGCTTTGCTGGTTGATTTCTGTGGGAAAAAAATGTTTATAGGTGAGGTAGAGTCTGAACACGGTGTTACAATATGGTGAAAATAAGGCTTTTACTTTTTTCTGTTTAGTATCAACACACTCTTTTACTCCAAGACAGTTTTGCAGTTTGTATTTACATCCTTTAACGGTGTGAATTTGGCTAGATTGTAGTTCTAGACTAGAATCTAGACTAGATTATAGTAGCCCTGCAAACTGCTTGTCAGAGACTTGTGTACTCTTTTCAGTGATTTCAGTGGGACTCTACTTAGATGAAACAGTCTGTAGGCTAAGGTTTTGTTTATTCCTGTAGTTGAAGGTGAGAGATAGCAGAAGGTGTTAAGGACAGAACATAAATCTTGCAAAGTAAAATAGATTTTTGAGAACAACTTCACTATTAAGCTCAACAAGAAATGGTACTGATTTAATTAACCAAGGAAGACTTTATTTAGGTTTTGTTCAGTGGATTTTCATACAGGTGGATTTGTGCTTCCATAGGAGCCATGTTAACTTCTTTGCATCCTGGCATTGAGTGGTTAAACATTGGAACAGGCTGCCCAGGGAAGTGGTGGAGTCCCCATCCCTGGAGGTATTTAAAAGACGAGTAGATGAGGCACTTAGGGACATGGTTTAGTGGACATGGTGGTGTTGGGTCGACAGTTGGACTTGATGATCTTAGAGGTCTTTTCCAACCTCAATGGTTCTATGATTCTATGTTTTTTAACATGCTTTCCTCACTGAAATCTGTATTTTCTGACTGTTTTTTCCTCTCTAGGTTCTTTGCTTTGCCTTTATGCCTCAAAAATATTTCAATTCATTTGTCTGTTTTGGTCACGTTCGACAGCAGAGCTGGAATCACAAAGATAATTATCTTACAAGCTTTGTGAAAATCAGTGGCTGTGGAAAGGAGAGGGGCTTAAATTAGTGCCCCCAGTAAGGAATAGGCAGTTGTGTTCACCGCTTCATCTAGTCAAGAGACATCAGACAAACGATCTGTCTGTGATAGCCATTGGTGATTATTACTAGCAATGTCATGTGCAAGCAGTGTTATGCATCTTTTGGTTTGCTGTTGTTATCAAACATGAGGCAAAGGTGTTCCTCTACTCTGCAGTCACAGTCCCCTGGAAAGGGATGTGTGAAAGGTAAGCCAGGGGCAACATAATGGTCCATGAATTGTAAGCCATCACGTCTGTTATGATTAAGATTTCAGAACTCTGTCACTAGGGGAGTATGTGCTGAAAAATCCACAAGTCCCATCTGTTTCGATTTGAAGTTACTGTATAAAATTATCTGTTTGGATACTAATAAACATTGCATTTTCAGACTAGGAGACCATGCAAGGCTTTGTCGTTGTTTGAAATTTTCACCAAGGATCTGAATAAAAGGCCTGGGAGCCAAGGAGTTGCCATCCAGTCATTGACCAGCTGGAGTAACCGAGCTTTTTAACCTGGATGCAGAACATTGCCTAAACATAGCTTTTTGTTATGCAGGTGCACAGCCTGAAAACCAGCCAAAAAGAAACTGGTACTCTAAAGTGCCGTTCTTACAGGCAGGCTCTGTGTTCCTTGGCAGGTAGTACAAAATGTGGGATTAGGTCTCTAATTTAAGGTGCTCAGTCGTGGTTCTCTGTAGTAGTGTGTGGAGAAAAACGGGTATTGCTAGAGGGCAATTCCTCTTGCCTGTCTGAGATGCTACCCAGTGTATAAGATAGTGTTAGAGACGTGCTGTTTCTTTTTCATGTATGATGTGTAAAATTGCCAAAAGGTATATTAACATCATATTTCCTCATTTTTGTTTGTTTGTTCATGTATCAGTGTTAGTGGGACTAATAGGCTTAGAAGACTGAAAACAAAGGATCTTCACAACATCTTGCATCTACAGGATTGTGGCTCTGCACTGATGTTGGTTCAGAGTTCAAGCAACATAATCCCATTACTTTTAAAATCATAATTTGCCTTTGTGAAGTAAGGCAAGTTGGAGGAGAGATTTAAGGCTGCTACAAAAAAAAAATTGTGGAAATGTAGTTTAAATGCAGGTTGCAGAAGGCAAAAGTCACCAGCCATGAATATTGCTGTCGTCTTAGAGTTGGAGAAAAAGAGAATGCAGGGACCAAACCCTCATTGCAGGGGAATTCTGTTTTATTCCAAATGTATGGTTAATTTACATAGATCACGTGTTCTAAACTAAAGTGTAGGAAATACTAGCAACAATTAGATTAAATGAGGGAATAAGAACTTTTTTGCTTTATTATCTAGCATTCTGTTGCTCATGCAGTGGCAGGACAAAAGGTTGGATAGATAATCTGATGTAGCCACTGCTTCTAGAGACCGATTCGTGCTTAGGGCTACTGTAGTGAAATACATTTGGTCTTATCTGACATGAATATAATATTCTTCCTCTGAAGACTTTGTTTAAGGGAATACATATGGCTATATCTCTAGCATAGGACCTTATGGAAAGTCAGGAAATTGGTTTAACTGCTGGCAGTACAACTTACGAGATGGCGACTTACCTGTCTGATAATTTGGCTAGAACAGATTCCCTCCTATCTTACTGTAATGCTTCATTTTTCTGATAGCAAACTGTTTTCTCCAAGCTATGAGACTTTATCCTCTGCTTTTAGTAATAGTTTCTCCCATTAGGGCTGCCTGCAAGCTTGCTTGTAAAGTACCTCTAGCTTTAGTGTAAGAGTGGATTTGGGGAACATACCCAGTTACATCCAGATACAGGCTGGCCCTTTCTGGTGAGAGACCAAGACAAGTGTTTGTGTATAGCTTACAAGGAGTATCTCTTGGAGGAGAATGGAGTCTGCAAACAAGCAATCTCGGAAGGGTACAGAAATCAAGCGGATTATGTTCTGTGCTTTCAGACCAAAGGCTAAGTCTTGAAAACATGATTCCTGCAACTGTTCACACTGTCCTGAGTGCTCTATATTTATGCTGCCACAGAAAGAACTGGTTACACTCGGAGGAGAAACACAAGAAACACTAAGGACTGAAATGCGCTTGCAGCTAAAGTATCCTCATCATGAATAGGTACACAACTATCAGACAGCTTGGTGATGGGACCTACGGCTCTGTCCTCCTAGGGAGAAGCATTGAATCTGGAGAGCTAATAGCCATTAAAAAGTAAGTATTTTCATTTGTTATTTAACAGTGGATGGTCCAGGTTTTCCATTCTATGGTCCGCATCACTTGGTCATGCTGGTTTGAGTACTTCACATTCCACGCAACATTTGTATTTGGAGTTGTATTGGGGCAGCATGCAAAGCTCAAGTTCCTTGTATCCTCCAAAGCCCCAGCAGAAGATAAAGAGGGTGAGATATATACGCTTATTGTAACAGCGCTCTGCTACTATGTGCAGCCAAACATATATTATGTGTATTATTTAGAGTATTCTGCAATGCTGCTTTGGAATCTGCAGCCCCTTCCCTGCTGCTTACTTGGAACATGCATTTCATGGTCTAATTTCCAGTGTAATGTTAATACTGCAGTGATAATTAACACAATGGATCTCATTGTCCATTATCTGTATCTTTATATGCTATTATGTATTGGTCTTTTCAGCTTAAGATTTTCTTAAAATTCCTTGAGAAATCCACTTGATTTTCTTTGCTGCTTCAGCAGTGACCTCAGTTTGTAAATGGCTTATTTGTCCTCGTTGTGGTAAGAGACAGCTGTAAAGCATTGCAGGCACTTTCCTGAAATACCGACCATGACCCAGGGACATACTTGTCAAAAGACCTTTCAGTACAATGCTGTATTATATAAACAGTCAATAGCTGGCTTTAGCAACTTTCTAAATCCTCTGTGCTGAGGGTATTTTTCCTGTATCAAACCTTGCCAGAGGCACCTTTGATTTTCATTTTGCAACATGGTAGAAACTGAAAAATTTTGGAACAAACCAGAAGGTGGTACTTTCTTAGCTTACATGTTAATGCCAATCCATTATTAAGAACAGAAATGGCCTGGTGGCTGAACGCACAAGACAGTAACTGCAAAAACACTGCTTAAACAAAAAAAAAAAAAAAAATCCAGACCCCTTCACGAAATGAAGGGCTTGCAATTCTTAAACTATTCTAATTATAAGAGCTGATTTCAAACTGGAAACTTACTGCAATAATAAGTAATACTGAATTTTTATTGAAGTCTGACAGAGACTCGTATCTTCAAAGGGTGCCTAACTCCCTCTGAATCCAGACTCTAAGCAGTTGGGTATTTTTGTAAGTTTAATCTGTGCTCTTCTGTGTGTGTGCATACATGTGAGCCTTCGTCCTGTTGGTCCTAAAGCATAGAGTTATGTGTGAAACAACTGAGTCATAATCAAAATGCATATGAACAAATAGGACCATATGTTACACAAAAATACTGTGTTCAGAGTTATATTCTGGCTTAGGGGAAAACAGATCTGCCATGCAGTTTGTTTCTGTTAGAGCAGAGTTGCTTATAAGCTTGAAAGGAAAGGCAGAATTCAAAAAGCAGTTGGCATGATAGATGTAGCTCGCAAGGGAGAAACATGGGGAGCAGTGGACACTGAAAAATGAAGAAATACAACTTAGAGGGGAAAAGGTATTGAAATTACAGAGAAATCAAAATACAGAGAAGAGGAGCAAGAAGAGTATGATAAAATTGGAGACCCAGTGAAGTGATTTAATTTGGTCTTCATTAGATTTGTTTCAGAACTTAGTGTGAGTTGTTCATAACTGTCATAACCCTTGTCCTTTTTACGGTTAGACTCTACTCCACCACATTGTATACTGGAAAGAAAAATAGCATGTCCTGACTTGTTGAAGACTCTGAAATTTTTGCAGCAAGATATATATACAAAAAAAGGCAGTCCTGTGTAATAGTAATGCTTTTAAATTCTATTAGAGTGTACCTTGTCTAGAGATGTAAAGTTTTTGGACAAAGGAGATAACATGTTATATTTTGATGGAAGAACTGAATTGTTAAGATGTAATGAGATTTATGGGTCTAAGACCAGCTGATGTTGACCATGAATTAATCATTTTTTTCCCTCTACTATTGTAGAATGAAGAGAAAGTTTTATTCCTGGGAGGAATGCATGAACCTTCGAGAGGTTAAGGTACTTGTTTCATTCAATGGTTGGCTTTAAATTAGACGATCCCTGTCACATTTTGGGGTAACATCAAATTCTTTCCACCCCTTTTCTCAAAAACTGCCCCCAACATGAGCTGTGGCATATAGCATTACAGTTCTGTTTCCTGGCTCTACATTCGAACAGGGTGTCTGTAGTCTTATAAAAATTCTTCTTAAAGTTCTGTAGTTTTACAAAAAATCATTTGGTTGTAGAGAGCTGCTTCCTCCTTGCAGTGAGTGGTGAGTGAGAGAGAGCTTTCCTATCACAAAACCTGGAGTTGATTGGTGTTTGTTTTTCAGAGCTTGAGAACACATGCCCTTTGCTCAGCAGTTACTTTTGTACATGCAGTTGTTTCTGGATAGTTGGTTTGGGGACAGACATTTAGCATGAAATTCTGACACCAGCAAAGCTTTAAGGGTATGTTCTAAGGACCTCCTTTAATTTCTAGTCCTTGCTATTACTGTTGTAAACATGCAGACAACCTTGGTCACTTTTCTTACAGTACCACGTATTGGTACTGTGTTGTTACAGCAAGAATGAATGTAGAATACATTGAAAATCTAAAAAGGAGGGAGAATGAAGACCCAGGTATGCTGGTTTTGGCTAGGATGGAGTTAATTTTCTTTGTAGCAGCTTGTATGGGTCTGTGTTTTGGATTTGTGACCAAAACAGTGTTGATAACACAGGGATGTTTTAGTTACTGCTGAGCAGTGCTTGCACAACCTCAAGCCTTCTCTGTTTCTTATGCTTCCCTGCCAGCAAGCAGGCTGAGGCTGGGCAAGAGGCTGGGAGGGGACACAGCTGGGACAGCTGACCCCAACTGACCAAAGGGATATTCTGTACCATATGACGTCATGCTCAGCATATAAAGCGGGGGGAGGGAGAAGGAAGGGGGGGGCGTGTTCGGAGTGACGGTGTTTTTCCCAAGTAACCATTATGCGTGATGGAGCCCTGCTTTCCTGGAGATGGCTGAACACCTGCCTGCTGATGGGAAGCAGTGAATGAATTCCTTATTTTGCTTTGCTTGTGTGTGTGGCTTTTGCTTTACCTATTAAACTGTCTTTATCTCAACCCACGAGTTTTCTCACTTTCTGCCTTTCTGATTCTCTCCCCCATCCCAGCGGGGGGGATGAGCGAGCTCAGCTGCCCATCAGGGTTAATCCACAATATCAAAGAAGAATTTCCAGGGTTATATTTAGTCCTGAATCTAACCTGACTATTGCCAATGCAAGTACAAGAAGAGTGTGAATTCTGCCAGTAGGAAGTTACTTATAGAGAAAATGCAATTGTTTTGGTGCCTACTGTGATGCCAGATAGCTGGCTTTTGAATGACCTGTGCATTAAATTGATACGTATACTGTATATGTATCTGGTAACACATGGAGATCTGGTCTTTGTTCTCAGAGCTGGCTGATCCTTTAAAATACTGAAGAATTTTTGAAGCCAAGTCTTCTGCATCAGTGAAATAGTTTTTTCTTTTTCATTAGAGTAAGTCCCTTGTAAAATCCTGTTTGTTTTTTCTGTTTCTAGTCTTTGAAGAAATTAAACCATGCCAATGTAGTAAAGCTGAAAGAGGTTATCAGGGAAAATGATCATCTGTATTTTGTGTTTGAATACATGAAGGAAAATCTTTATCAGTTAATGAAAGAAAGGTATGTAACAGCATCACCCATTCCTGATATAAATTAATTACTTGCGTAATGTGCTTTTAACACCCCTGTTACTTTTCAAAGGACTTTGGATCATTTGTTTAGGCTTAGATCACTATGGCTTAAAGCTGTGTGCTGCAGTAGGAGCTGTGGCTGTCACCTTTGAGCATATCCCAAACAGTCTAGTGAGAGTTTCCAGTCTCTCTTCCCAGATTAGCCTGGCAGATAAGTAGGGCACTCTTTTAAGAATTAGGAACTGTGGACTTTTAACAGCCCTCATGCTGAGGAGGCATTGAACCTAGAACTTTTGATTTCTAGTTAAGTACTCCAACCAGCAATGCTTTTTCTGTTAGAGGGTGGTATCATCACCTCTTCTGTTATGGCTTCCTCAAATAAATTAATAAATAAAAAGTAGTTGAAATGGTAATCATGAGGGGTCAAATTCTGAATTGCTTCTAGGAATTTCTTTTTTCCTTGCAATTTGAACTGACATTTTCCAAAGACTGCCTATTTTATTTGTCAGCATTCTCAATAAAATCTAACTTTTTGATATTTGCTGGAGCATTAATAAAGTCTTAATTTTAGCCTTTGGGCCATGATAGCATCCTCCAGAGGATAATTTGGAGCAAAATAGCTCCCTGCTTTGAATTGTTCTCCGAGGAGGCCATTTTCTCTCTATGGACCATAGAATCAGCCTGGGAGATGACAGTAATCTTACTTGATTTAACAAAGTAAGGTTATTCTTACAACGTATCTCTGTGAATACTACATAAAATACCTTTTAAAGCATAAAAATACTTATTATGCATGCGCAGGTATAGAACAACTTTAACTAAATTGGGCACATACATATGGATGCTGATTTTTAATTATATGAAATGATGAACCTTGAGAAAATGGTTCAAGTGCCTAACATACAAACCGATTATCTTTAGGAATTTCTTAGAAATGCTTGATATATCCTACCTCCTTATGAAAACAAAAAGGGCAGATGTCTGTAAAAGTATGCTACACATCATATTCTCTACGGTTTAGCAAGGCCTTGGACTGGTTAGACATTGTATAAATCAAACCTTTAAGAATGCGATTTATTTGCTTAAGTCGTAGTTAAAATTGCCAGTCTTGCTGGAACGGACTGTAGAGGAAATATGACTCTCTTTCCGCTGTAATTAAAAAAATAAGCAAATATGAAAAGCTGACTCTAGTAGCTGATCTCACTTCTGAAATATGTGATGGTCAGTTTTTTTGAGAGGAATCAAGCTCAGGAAATTGAATAAGGCCCAGACCATCTTCTTCATTCACTGTTAGGCTCTTTCTGAATAAAATTGTCACTGATTTCCACCCCAATCCATCTCTACTGTGTTTTGGCATGCGCAGAGGCAGCTGGTATAGAGCTGTTTGACCAGAATCCTCTCTTGGTAAGAGGGGCTATCATTAAACCGCCTGCCATGGCTGATCTTCTCGCCTGAATTTTATGAGGAGAAGAGCCTCTTGTTTTCAGTGGTAGCAAATGAGACTGTTTTTTCAGATAACAGAAGAGAAAGAAGTAGCGCATCAGCTGTTAGATAACAACAAGGGAAAGTCAAAAGTATGGCTTGTATATGCTCTAGAAGAGAGGCCAGAAGAAACTGTGCATGAAAAGCACTAAATTAACATGAACCCTTGCTGTCTTGAGGAGCATGCCTCATGACCTGTACATGTTAAGGTTTGTTCAGTTTGGCCAATTTTCTTTTTTTTTCTTTTTTTCCCTTTTTTAATTCACTGTCCCACGTAGTCTTAACACGATGTCACATGGTCTTAATATAATGTAATAGGGCAGTTCTGCAAATACTGTGTAAATTTTGTTGGAGAAATAAACTACATGAGAGTGCTTAAAATATATCTACAGTTTTATTCTCATTGGTTCATTAGATAGCAACAGCTAATGTGTGAACTTAAATCATTAATATTTATTTCTTCCCTTTTCTTTTATCCCACAGAAACAAACTGTTTCCTGAGTCTACAGTTAGGAATATTATGTATCAGATCCTGCAAGGACTTGCATTTATCCATAAGCATGGTAGGTTATGTTTTAGCTGTAAACATCTTGAATTAGAGCAAGATAGTGTCTGTGTAAGTTTTTTAATATTTACACTAACAATTACATTACTAACTTTAATAAAGGGAGTGATAAAAAGAATGGCACTATATGAGAGGTTCAGATTACTGAAAATATCCGTATTTTATAGTTGCCCGATATTTTAGTCTGGAGGTTTGCTCAGTTCCTTTTCTGTAGATTTCTACTTTCTCAAACTGTCAGCTGGCCACTTTCTAAAACTCATGTTAATGGGCATATTTCTTGATAGATTTAGAGGTCCCCTGAGATAGAGAAAAAAGGAAAAATTACTCTTTTTCTCAAGGTACGCACAAATACCCGAATAAAATGCACATTCTCTGTAAGATACACTTAAAGTAATAAAGTCTGAGTGACAAACAGCTTTCGTTGCATGGCCTTCCAACTAATTTTTACAACAACGATAAAAGCTAAAGCTGGTGTTCCAGCCAGTAGTAACAAGACCCACTTAACTATAAAAAAAAGTACTTATTTTAACGATAACTTCCTCATCATGTTTTGCTGCCCTCTGCAATTCTGCCTGCTAAATACACTGTAGTGTATGTTGCTGGTTAGCTCTCGGGGTTATCAGAAGAGAACTAACATCAGTGGCCAAAGTCTTGGAAGTGAAAGGCTTGTAGTAGGACCAGCATTTCAGTTCACTTGAAGAACACATTTAACTTTGTTTTGCAAAACATTTTCAAGCTAATGGCTTTACTCTCTGTTCTAATGGGGCTTGGATACTCTTCTGAAACCAAACTAGAAATTCCAGGCTGTTCCAGTGAGATACAAAATACTTAAAAACATAAAAATAACATGATTTATTTGCAAAAATCTAAGCCACTTTTTTTAATAACTTGTCAAATGCATCGCAACCTGTCCGAATACCCTTTACTGCTATTTGACTTACTATAGCTATAAAGAATGAACAATTCTGTGTCGAAACTAACTGTCTTGTTCACTGACCTGCTACACACTAGACTGATATTTCTGCCAAGATGTTGCAAATCTGTAGTTACAAAGATCTGGAAATTTATGGCAAGCCTGACAGGATGGTCTTGATGGTCTTGTGGCTCACAGTGTAAGACTGGGTGTCCCAAGATTCTCTCTGCAACAGTTTTGGAAGAATCACATGAACTTTTTTCACCTCTCTTTATTTCTCTATTCTGCTCCTGTATGGCATAGAAATGCTTGTCAAGTAAACCTTTTATGTTCTTTGTTCATCCAAACTCTAAGCATCTTTTCACATTTGAATACACAATTGATTGCTCTTTTTACAAGTTTGCCGTGAAATAAATTGCTTCAAAAGCATTCTGTTGGTGCATTGCGTGTCTGTGCAGCAAAATACAGAAGTGATTGTACTAAATGCTAAAAACGACCTTGATTGCTCTGTCTGGTACCTTCCATAAAGAGGCAGTAGTTCAAGTTGGCACCAGAACAGCTACTTAATATCCCTAGGAAGGACGTAATCTGCTGGTTGGTAGACAGCTACAGCACTGTGTCTTCAATGCTGTCAGGCATTAATCTAACAAAGAAAAGTTAATATAGTTATACCTGACAATGCAGACACATCCTATGTGAATGTTTATTCTGTTCTCTCTGGGAGCATATTCAAGGCCATGGAAAAAACTAAGCATGTTGGAAGGTCTCTGAAAAGGAGGTCATAGAGCTCTAGTAAGGTACTACAGAGGGAGCTGCATATAGGAAACAGTGGTCTCAGATGCCGGCAAGAAAGAAGCATAAGGACAAGTTTTCCAGACTAAGGGTGGAAGCAAATTTCAGAGACAGTAGTCAGTAATATTTTAGCCCTCTTTTCTCATTTGTATTGAAAGAGCTCTTACCAAATGCTCATTTGTAATCAAGTTTTGCTGAATGCAGAGCGCACTAAAAAAATACACTGAGATCCTCTGTCTGATAGGGTGATGAGTAACTGAGTGCTTGCGGATTATTATGTTCCCAGATTCAAAAAGAAGTTTCAAAGTGCAAAAAAATTATCTCACGTTTTAATTTGTATTCTGTCTAAAAGAACTTTTGAAGTAATTTTTTTGATGCCTTTGTTGCACAGTTTCCAACACAACTAGAATGAAACTAACATTAAAATGGTGTAAATTTTTTTATGTTAAAGAGGTGTCACTTGAAAGGGAGCTACCTGACTGAATGCTCTGAATTGTTATAAGATAGTCAACTTGTGTATACTGTTCTTCACAGTCTGACTGAACAAACATCATACTGACTAGCTCTGTTGATCACGTGAGACTTTGAACTCTGTGTTGTGCTATTGAAGCTTCAGCAATAAGAACTAAAGCAGAACAGTCCAGGTAGAAAATAAAAGCTACAGCTGGGGGTGGCATTGCAATGCACATCAATATTTCATTTGAATTTTAGGGTTCTTTCACAGAGACTTGAAACCTGAAAACCTCCTTTGCATGGGACCAGAACTTGTGAAAATAGCAGACTTTGGCTTAGCTCGAGAAATCCGATCTAGACCTCCTTACACCGATTATGTATCCACAAGATGGTAAGTGCTAGTATTCACCTACATTGTGTGAAACTTATAATCAAGCCTTTAAAGAAGTAAAGTATTAAATTTGTGCTGAATGTAATACCACTTTTGATGCCTCCTCTTTATGAAACTTTTATTTAAGTTTGGCATAATTCAAAAAGCTTCAGTTAGTGCAAGACAGTTTACAGATGGCAGCAGTACAGGAACAAAGAGGGAGCCTGATAAGGCAGGTGGGACATGCTGGGATTGCTGCATGTCAAGAAGGCATAAGAGAGCTTACAAGAGCTTACGTAGCTTTTAATTCTTCATTCTAGGAAAAAAAATGAAGTCTTATGTATAGGGTAGGAGAGGATAGGAGCTTTTTAAGGCATGTTTGCTCTTAACAGCAAAGAATGAAGAGCTGAATGCTTTCATGTATGTCTGTTTGAATTATGTTGATTGTTGGGTTTGTTTCTTTTTTTTTTTTTCTCTCTCTTACAGGTACAGGGCTCCTGAAGTCCTTCTGAGATCCACCAGCTATAGTTCTCCAATAGACATTTGGGCTGTTGGTTGTATAATGGCAGAAGTTTACACACTGAGGCCTCTCTTCCCAGGCGCCAGTGAAATTGATACTATATTCAAAATTTGCCAAGTCTTGGGGACGCCAAAAAAGGTAGCTAAAGTGACATTCCACACTGCAATAATACTAGAGGTGTTCTACAATACAGAATGGTGCAATAGCAGTAAGCATAAAAATAATCAATTTTCACTGCTATTGTATGGTATTGATCTCAGATATGGTAAACTAAATTAAAACTTATTTTCTGTGAAATAAGCATTATGTAATTATGCTATAAAACCTGACATTTAGAGGAGAAGAAATAGACCCCTGAACAGCAAACAAAGTCATTAGACTGTGATTTCATTAGGCAGAAATTTAATTTTCTCTTGCATCTTGCGTATAAACCTATGGTTTAAGAGGCTAGAAATTGGAGTCATGGCAAGACTGCTATCTCCTGATTCCATTTGTGCCTTTGACTCGGTCAGATGTAAAGCAAGACTTTCCTCTCACCAGAGGTTTGAGGTGAAAATTTCTAGTGAAATCTTTAATATAGTCTAGAGTAAGCTGGACACAGTCTATTACTGATAGGAGAATATATGCTAGTTGTTTAGGCTCTATGATATTTTACAGCTGAACTTTCTTTGTGATTGGAAATCTCATTCTTCTAGAACGACTGGCCTGAAGGCTACCAACTTTCAGCCTCCATGAATTTTCGGTGGCCTCAGTGTGTTCCTAACAACCTAAAAACTCTCATACCAAATGCTAGCAGTGAAGCGGTGCAGCTCATGAGAGACATGCTGCAGTGGGACCCCAAAAAGCGACCAACAGCTAGTCAGGTTTGGTTTTGTTTTCTTTTTCTCACACCTGCATATGACACTTCCTTTCACTGCAAGACACCTTTTATAGACATTAATTTAACAGTTGCTCAGGGGAGCAGTTCTTAGAAGGGAGGAGAGCAGAAGTCAAGAACAATTTGCAAGACAAAGTGGAGTAATTAAAAGAGAGTAATCAATCTTTTGCATGCAACATCAACTGCATGGGGTGTGTGCTCAATGATCAAACGTTTGACTGCAGTGTATGTAAGTACACTTGAATATAATCCAGTCACTGTGAATAGCAGCAGAGTGAAGGTAGGATGTATGGCTGCAGGCTGTGATGCCGTTCTTTCATTGCTATTGCTACATGCCACAGAATCACGGAATGGTTGAGGTTGGAAGGGGCCTCTGGAAGTCATCTGGTCCAACCCCCTAGGCAACATGTGCTAGTGCTCAGTCACCCTCACAGTAAAAAAGTGTTTCCTGGTGTTCAGAGGGAACCTCCCGTGTTTCAGTTTGTGCCCATTGCCTCTGGTCCTGCCACTGGGCACCACTGAAAAGAGCCTTGCTCCATCTTCTTTGCACCTTCCCTTCGGGTATTTGCATACTTTGATAAGATCCCCCTGAACCTTCTCTTCTCCAGGCTGAACAGTCCCAGCTTTCTTAGTCTTTCTTCAGATGTGAGATGCTTCGGTCCCATAATCATCTTCATGGCCCTTTGCTGGACTCTCTCCATTATGTCCATCTCTCCTGAACCTTCCTTCTCCAGGCTGAACAGTCCCAGCTTTCTTAGTCTTTCTTCAGATGTGAGATGCTTCGGTCCCATAATCATCTTCATGGCCCTTTGCTGGACTCTCTCCATTATGTCCATCTCTCTCTTCTGCTGGGGAGCCCAAAACTGGACACAGCACTCCAGGTGTGGCCTCACCAGTGCTGAGCAGAGGGGAAGGATTGCTGCCCTCGGCCTGCTGGCAACACTCCTGCTCATGCTAGTCTTTCTTCAGATGTGAGATGCTTCGGTCCCATAATCATCTTCATGGCCCTTTGCTGGACTCTCTCCATTATGTCCATCTCTCTCTTCTGCTGGGGAGCCCAAAACTGGACACAGCACTCCAGGTGTGGCCTCACCAGTGCTGAGCAGAGGGGAAGGATTGCTGCCCTCGGCCTGCTGGCAACACTCCTGCTCATGCATCCCAGGATACCGTTAGCCTTATTTGCAGCAAGGGCATATTGGTAGCTCATGTTCAACTTGGTGTCTACCAGGTCCTTTTCTGCAAAGGTGCTTTCCCGGTGGCTGACCCCAGCATGTACTGGTGCATGGGGTTGTTCCTCCCCAGGTGCAGGACTTGGTATTTCCCCTTGTTGAACTTGATGAGGTTCCTGTCAGCCCATTTCTCCAGCCTGTCGAGATCCCTCAGGATGGCAGCACGACCCTCTGGTGTATCAGTCACTCCTTCTAGTTTTGTGTCATCAGCAAACTTTCTGAGGGTACACTCTGCATCGCCATCATTAATGGAGATGTTGAACAGTATTTGCCCCAGTATTGACCTCTAGGGTACACCGATACCTGCTGGCCCCCAACCAGACTTTGTTCCACTGATCACCACCCTCTGGGCCTGGCCGTTCAGCCAGCTTTCAGTCCACCTCACTCCATCCCAGTGTTGCCTGGATAAAGCTAGCTTGTGCAAGGCAGTTTGCAGGGCAGTCTCAGCTCAGTTGCACTGTAGATACGTCCCAACATCCTGTACATAAGCATAGCCCAAGTCATCAGTATTGCACATGTAATGGTCCAGTTGATGTTGTTGACGGTAGCTACTGATTTCAGATATCAGTACTGTAGTGGTAGTACCCAACTAATGAAAATGAGTAGGGCACCTTTTGAAAAACAGATGTGATTCTGGGTTCAAATCTGACTTGACTTCAATAGGACCATAGCTGAACCTTTGTGATTATATCAGACCTTCAGTACAAATTGTAACAAAAAGCTTTAAAGCTAATTAAAGCAGTTAAAAAGTAAAATAGATGAAGAACTCTCAAAGGTAATGAAAAGCAAAAAATGCTGACTATAACTTGGTATTAAGAGCCATTAACAAATGTTTTACAGTAAGGTACAAATATGGTGAGGAATCTGAGCTTTTAGAAGCTTTTTGCAGTGAGAGGTCTTTGGGAAGGGAAGATGAGTATCCCTGAAACAGCGAGGTGGGCAGAGATGAATTGCCTTTAGTGACAACTCCTTAATTACTTGTAAGGCAGGATAAAGATACTTTTACCAACATGTCTTCCAAAAAAGAGAGAGGCTAATTTTCCAAAGGGTTATATTTCTTTCACTTGATTCAGTCTTGGAACTGGAGAATGGAAGAGATGGGATGTCTCTGGGGTCGTTCATGTCTTGATGGCTGAATCTGTGATGACTGGTGTGTATGTGTTTGCACATGCGCATGAACACACACACGAAGAGACAGCACATAATGAAACATGCCTCTAGATGCTATATACCTGCTTAAGTATCTTACTTCTGCAGAACCTTTTCCTTTTGTGCAAGTCCACAGAGGATTTGATAACTTGGTATCTGTTGAAACTTTTCTACTATTGCAGCATTATTCTGAAATGGATTGTGCTCACTAGAATCTAGTGTTGAGAGATGGGTCTTCTGCTGTTTACCACCCCAGAAAAAGAGGAAATTAAATTTGTACCATCACACAGGGCTAGGGTAAATTAAAAACTTTGGTTTCCTAAGTTGGATCCTAACATCTTTATTATGTTTTAGGCACTTCGATATCCATACTTCCAGGTTGGGCATGCCCTGGGCGTTCAAGAACTGGGGAAACAAAAGGAACTGCATAATAAATCGTCTCTGCATATTAAGCCTGTCCCTCCAGCACAACCCCCTCCGAAACCTCACGCCCGCATTTCATCAAGGCCTTTTCAACAAAGCCAGTCTTCTCAGCACTTGGCGTACCCATATAAGGCAGACAACTCTGGGGCTGAGCACAGTAACTACTTACAGGAGGACAAGTCTAACCAGGTTGTTCTGCCTGCAATTCACAATAAGGTTCCTCAGCAGGTAAAGGTCCATCTAGCATAAGATACACTTCCTGATATACTGCCTGATTTTTCCTGAATTGTGTTTCTTTTTCTTGTTCTCTTTCAAGGTTCTTATACTTTACTAAAAAAAACAGGAAATGGGGATAAAGAATAGTTATAACTTTCTGCTAGAAACTGGAAGTTACTTTATTGAAATCTAAATGCACTTGCTATAAAACAAGCAAGTCGATTTCTCATTTCAAAGCCATTTTATGCTTCCCTTTGTTGCAAAGCACCACTTAAAGGATGACACTGTGATTTCATACGAGTAAAAAGGATGTACAGTGGTCAGAATATTAATAGGATTGACGCCAGAGAGAAAAGTATTAAGCTAAATAGTATTGAAATGAGGGGGAGGAGGGCTATTGCCTTCATCCATTTAAGGCATCCAATTTATGTGACTGAGAATAATAGTCCCTTTGGGCTTCTATACTGGCCATGGAAAACAACAGATTCTTCTTTCAGCGTAAGAACCTACCATTTCTGTTGATTATACAGGGAGACTGGATTAATAAGATAGATGATGAGAGCAGACAGTGTGAATGGTGCTGCTAAGAGAGCGGTCTTAATTAGGGTCTGTACTGGCCATGTACAAGAGTTGCACAAGGTTGAAATGCACTGATGAGCTTAAATGGCTGAGGAGACACAAATTTATACCTATGCTGTCCTGCAAGAAAACCACATTTTATAAATGTCTAGGTACAGGCTTGTGGAAACATGATCATGCATGCAGTTTTGTACTCCCAAGATGGGTCAAGAAATAAAAATTAAGCGTGAGCTAGTTGTTTGGGAGGTGTATGGTGAAATATAAATAGAATTGGAATTGAAACCTAAGAAATCTATTCTTCTGTCAGTGCAAGATACTTTATTACAGGATGACATGCAGAAGTTACGTAATAATGTCTACAGGCTACAGATTGTGTTCTTTGCATGTTTAATGAAGATTAGGATTCTGTTGTTACAGCTCTACTACCACTATTACTCTTTGAGACAGGAAAAAAAAGTCCTCTTTGTTCCTGTCACCTGGTTTATGGCGTAAGTGCACGGGTTTATTTCTTTTCAATCTTTATAACAGAAAACATCAGCTGGGACTGAGAATATAAATGGTGAACTTAAACCAAAAACTAGGCGAAGGTGGGGACATCTTGCTAGAACAGTCAAGAGTTCTGAAGACTGGGATGACTTGGAAGACCTTGATTTCAGCTCTTCCGTCACGAGGATGGACTTGAAAAACAAGAAGAGGCAGAGTAATGAAACTCTTTGTAGGTAAGTTGGTTTCTTTTTTCCTTAAGCTTCACCTCTTTTTTCATAATGTTGCTCGTTATGCTTTCTGTGGGTCTAGAAACATATATCCAGGCCGGTAAAGGATATGCAGCTTGTCTCTCTCCTGCTTTGCCTTGACTCCTTGTTGAATGCTGACCTTTGAATTGCAACACATTTTTTGATGGACAGTGCACCCTTCTATACAATTCCTTGTTCATTTTTCCCCACTGAAAATGATGCTTAGCTTAAGTCTTCCCAAGTTAGTCTTTGAATATATACTTTCTATTTCACATATGAACCATTTTGACATATTCCACGCATATAACCTGTTTGGGTGACTCTAGGCTGCAGTTTCCATGGATTATACACAGTAGAGAAGAACTTACTGAGTGATTTATAAAAACTTTTAAAAGCAATGTATAAGGGAACTAGAAGCGCAAATCTGATTTTCAGGGGCACTTGTATGGCTTCAGGCTGAAAATACTCCCTGTTGTCTGTGTGTTTATGCTGTAGCAAACACAGTATGAAGAAATGATTCCTGGAGATGGGATGGAGATGAGAAGGCCAACTGTAGATAAACATATGTTATAAGAATTGGACTAAGTTTAGCAATTTTTGGGTTATAGATTTGAAAGCATTTTGGACCTGAAGCCTTCAGATGCTGTAGGCTCTGGCAGCAGTGCACCTTCCCATGCAACCTTTCTACGGCAGGACACTCCCACATTGAGAGTTTCTGCAGCAAAGCAACACTACTTGAGACATTCTAGGTATCTACCTGGTTAGTAAAAAATACTTCTTTTTCTTCTTGTAATTCCAACAGCAGTATGAAATAGTCATTGGTACATTAGGCTTTATCCTTTGAGCTTGTGGAGGGTGGCTACTGCTTAAAGAAAATGAGGAGAGCAAGAGCTTTGCTAATGTAGGTGGCCATGATACAAACTACGTTCTAGCAGTCTAGCAACTGAGATAAATCCTGCTTACAAGAAGGGGACAGGACTGTTGGTACTTCTTCCTCCTGCTGGATACTCTTTTATACTTTGAAGTGTGTTAGAACATGTCTGTTAATGTGCCAAGCTATTCCCTGTTTCCCTAAGAAGGATAAGACTGGTCTTCTAGACTAGAAAAGAAAGTGCCCTACGTTTACCTCATGAGTATATAATACCATGAACAATGGAAGCTAACTAATAGTGGGAATATGCTTTGCTGTAGCTTGGAGTTAAATAGAATGCAAATCCATGTCTCTGTAGAGGAATTGCATGCCTGTCTTCATGTTAACCTCTGCTATACTGAGACCAGCACTGGAGCAGGATGAAGTACAGGAGGTGGACAGCATGTCAGCCTGTATTTAAAATGAGTTGAATATAAATGTATCCTCTTTCATAATTTCTGTTTGTAAAGGCAGTGTTAGCTGTTCATTCACTTGTAATACTAATACTTCAGAATTAATTAAGTAAACTAGAAGGTATCGTGATGGTAAACTCAGTCTTTTTTCCTGAAACAATTAATTTCAATGACTTTCAAACTGGGTCACTTAAGTAGAGTTTTGGTAGCTAAAAGTTGTGTTACTAGAGGAGGTTGTAAAACACATTGATCCCAAGCCTGGTTTTGCTTTACCATAAATTGTGAGCGCATCCTTGCATGTTAGGTATGTGGCTTAAATATGGGATGTATATTAAATACAAATAATATGTGACATATGAACTCTACTGCAAACTGTTTGCACAATCTGTGGTTTCAGTAGATACACCAAAGAAGAGTACAGTACTATGAGAAATGTAATCTACCATTATTTACTCTCAGGTTATCTTGTCGCTGTTAGGCTAAAAGCTGTAAAATGTTGTGTTTGATATGAAGCATAGATTTCATTTACGTAGCAAGGTTTGCCTTCTGTGACTTCAGAATATTTGTGGCCTTGATGTAAGGATCCTGTCCCTTGACATAAGCAGCCATTGATGCTAGTGGAACTACTTACACTATTATCTTTGCAGGATTAGGGCCTATGGCTAGTCATAGCATTCCCGTATGAGAGGATGGGAAGTAACCCAGAGGCATGTTGAGTGAAAATGTTTGGTTAAGTTCACTAGACTGGACATCTGCTTTAGGACTGTGCATCAGATGGAATGAATACAAGCCTGTGTAATAGCAGAGATTTCAGCGTGGTAATTTTTGCATTTTTGCAATAGGAATAAGCACAAGGAATAGCATAGTCTCCACTTCAAACAAAGAGTCCGTTCCGTCTAATCCCTGGCCCAGTTCTGGTTTGCTTGGGAAAGCTTCCGGTTTGGGAGGAAGTATTAACAGGATGAATTCAGGTAAGAAGCTGTGCTTAACACTCTGAAAAAAGGTAATAGGTGATGTCTCTGCAATTCCAGGCAGCTGTAGTTTGGGGTCACCCATTTCTAGTACATTGTCAGCTCTGGAGATACTTGCTACCGTGTCTGTTCTTTCTGTCGAAATCAGTTATGAGAACCGTTCCTTGGATTTGGAGACTACCTTAAACTGAAACATAGTAATTTCTTCTAATGAATCCCCAAAAGTCTGGTTTGAAGTACCACATGCATAGCAGGTTGGACAGCTTAGGTCTGTTCAACCTGAAATACTTCATCTTGCCTTCAATTTGCCTCGTCAGTTTTTGTAAGTTGTATTTTCAGGTTTCCAAATTATTTTAGTCCAGCTGGTACATAAATGACTGTCATAGAGGAGGAACCTGGTCTAAATTGAACTAGCCATACACACCATTCTTGTTATGTGAATAAAGCAAATAAAATCTATCATTTATCATCATGTCTTTTAATTGATGCTGTTTAAAATAGTGAAATTATTATAGCTTTAAAAAATTCAGACAAAAAGCAAAACTCTTCAATTTTTCTTCTTCAGGTTTTTGGGGCATTTGGTATTTCAGGTATTTAATCCCTATTATTTGATTTGAAGTAATTAATTTGTAGATTTTTACATTAGATTTTACCAGATATACTTAAACATGTTGATGTTTCTAGATTGTATCTATGTATTTCCTCTCTAAATCTTTCTTGGCTTCAGGTTTTCATGTGATGTTACAGTTCTGCAGTGCAGTACTTGTTTTGCATATGTTGTTACGAAAATGTTTGATTGAGAAAATTTCTGTTGAATCTTGTCCCAAAGAAACATTTTGGGCCTTTAGAAACTCTGGTTTAAAAAATAAAAAACTTAAAATTTTGGATGTAATTTAATCAGAAAATTGTTCTTTAAAGATTCAAGATGGGAGGATGTTGTAAATGGCTAAACTACATGAGAACCTTTATATACGAGCTCCTTCTTGGCTCTTCTGCAAGTTTTTGCTTCTTTTGTAGCTGCATAGCATATCATTAGATTTTTCCCTTTTTTACTTATTACCATCATTTCCCACAATATGCTTTGCCACTGCTCTACTGCTCTAGTACATTATAGGCATATGTGCGGTGGATCTGATCTGTGCATGCTAACTTGTTTAGTGTCCATCTGCGCTATGACTCTAGACTGGTTTTTGTTCCAATTTCTACGGCTTACCCTACAGGTCAGTCAGATCTGTTCCTGCTCATCTTAGGGACAAGTTTTGTACCTGACTTTCCAAATTTGGAACATGAATCTGTCCCAGTTTATTAAGTTGCGCTCTTACTGGCTTCAGTAAGAGCTTTGTGTAGCACCAGAACCCCAGACTCGCTGCGCAGAAATCGAGTGAGTATATTCATAGGACCCAGTTGCTGAAAGTCAAACAAAATAATTCCAACATGAAATGCTAAGTTTTGAAAGCTTTGAGAAACCTTGAAAAAGCTGAGATGTCGGGGAGAAACAGAAATTGTCCTACTAAGAGTACAATTTGTACCTGTCTTCCATTCATCTTTAATGCAGTCTGATGCCGACAGTCTCCTGAATGGAGGTATATATAGGAGCTGTGGGTTTCTAGTGCCTTCAGTGAAGTCTTGTTTTCATCAGTCCATGATCAGGCTTGATCTTGAATATGACCCATCAGTGCACACCTTTGTCACCTGTTGATAGTATGGGAGATCCATTGTGTTGAGCTCAAGTGTTCCTTGCCATTTCTTTCAGGGCTCATAGGATCAAGCGGTCTAACTAGCAGTTATATCCCTTCATTTCTGAAGAAGGAAGTAGGCTCTGCTGGGCAGAGGGTTCAGTTAGCACCAGTTGTGGATCCATCTTCTAGTAAGTATAGTACCGAAGTTGTCTTGGTCCCTCTCTCATTACTTGGGTAATGCTGTATATATGCAGCACTGAACTACATATCTTTGCTTTACTTTATTTGTAAATATTTGACTGACTGGAACTAGAGTTTGTAACCTTGCAGAACTTCATATGGACAAGGATTTGGTTTATTTTTACTTTGTTAATGAAATATGTGGTTTTATCCACAGCATATTTCGATGGGACCTAGAGGTTGGTGTGAGAGCTGGCATAGAATTCACATTTGTCAAATCAGTGATAGAAATACTCCTTGTCTGAGAAGGTTTTAGGGATTGGATCCACTATTGTTTCACATCAGCAAATTCTATTAAAAAAGGAGGCTTATTTCCTGAAGAAATAAGGATCTGGACCTGCATCCAGTTGCTGTTCAATGTGGATAGCTACTCACTGAACCTTTATCTCATGGCATTTTCTTTTGTCCCTTAGATTATGCTTCTCTGAAGTCCGTAAGACCCCATCTTGGACGGCCGTTGTTCAATTCACCTACAAAAAGCACGCCAAGCTTGATGCCTCTCCCACCACCAGCTCAGCCGATCCATGGGCGTGTTGACTGGTCTGCAAAGTACGGTGCTCACCGGTGACGTGTGGAAATACTCTCTGAACCAGTGCGTGTTTCCCACGAAATGGTGGCTAACATGAGACAATTTGATACTGTTTTATATACCTGTAAATTTAAAAGAAACAGATCTTCTATGAACGAGACATTTTGAAGGCTCTTTTAACTTTTATTTGTATTAATTTGAATGCAATCTTGTACCTTTTTGTATAAAATTGTTTTGTTATATAATTGGGTCCAGTTATTTTCATAAATCTGATACATTTTGTATATATGGCTTAGGGGTTGAGCATTTTTATACGATAAATTTTTATAATGAACTTTTTTAAAATTTAACTTTTCCTTTATTAGTTCAACTTTTTTATAAAAGTGGACAAAAAAAGCAAAGTGGTGCAATATTGCAGTGGAAGAGAAGTACTAAGGAAGGGGCATTCATTATACATTTTCTGAAGTTTATGTGCTAAACGAGGCTGTATAATTTCAGCGATGCCACATCTTGATGCCATGCTTCTGTTGTCCTATACTCATTTGCTTTGTACTGACATCGAAGGAATGAGTGACTAACAGTCTAAACTCTCCTTTGCAGTCACTGAGAGACTGCTGAAACTCAGTGGGAGGCTTTTTTTTTAAATTTATTTTTGTTTTTAAACGGTTTTTGTTGGACTGCTATCCAGCTTTCCAGCTCCATTCTTTTGCTTTTACCAAATTTGGGGAATCTTCTTGTTTGGTGAAGGGTGAATAGCCTTCTGTAGGTCCGTTTTCTCACACAGCGCTCTTTTGTCCTGCTTCAAAGTTGCTGCTTGGCATTGTTCACTATGAAATAGAATGTGGACCTACCTCTGGTAAATTCATTTAAATGTTCTAATGATTTCTAAGGAGAATGATCAGATTCTGTTTCTTCTTGTTTTGTTGTTGTTGCTGCAAATGCAAGATCTGAAGACATATTTAAGACACTATTAACAATTATAAAGCTGGTTTCAGAGTAACAAAGTATTAGTGATATGCCAGCAGCAGAGTTTAAGGAAACAATATCTATGCAGCTGACTTAATTTTCACAACTGTTTTAAACCACTTCTGGAAAAAAAAATCCAGAGGAAATGAGTCAGTTTAAGCTTACTTCAGTTTTTCTTCACTTCAATACGTCTTCACTTACAACGTGAAGAATATGTCAGCTTCTGTAAATCAGGCCCTACCGGGAAAAATGGGACCCTACCTGGTCCTGCTAAAAAACGTTCTAAAATTGTGGTTGATTTCACAGAAACTGGTACAGGTCTTTGAACAGTTTAACTCAGTTTATAAGAGAAAATGAATTACCAGGTTACAGAGAAAAGAAAATAGCCCCATAGTCTGGTTTAATTCTGCACCGGAAAGGAGTGCCAGAGTCCAGCCACCAGCAAAAGATTAATTTAGATCACAGTCAGCATTTGGCTGTTCCTGCACCTCCTTCCACAGAAGAAAGATAAAACAGTACGGTGCTGTGGGAGAACATCTTTTATAGTTGTGTTTTGGAACAGCACCACCAAAGCTGAAGTCTGCTGTGAAAATGCATCTTCCTGCAGAAGTGTACAGAAATGCTCACCTTTCTGAGCTCATTTTATGAACAGATCAGGCAAATCGTGTATTTATGAGACTTAAATCCAGTCTAAAGGGATCAGAGCAGGTATGCTTCTCAGCATCCGGCCATTTCGAAGGAGCTGAACGGCTAGTGTGTCAATGAGATCCTCTCTGTGGGATCTGCCGGCACCCACAAGGGGCAGCCGCTGTGGACTGGAGGCTGATCACGCATGCTGGCCTTTTCAGTACTTCCCATGGAGAACGTGTGGGACTTCGAGGAAACTGTACCCTAGAGTAGGCTGCTGGCTCAGTGCTACGGCGGAACCGTGAGCGGCACTGGTCGCCGTTTGCTTTTATGGACTCGGTCCACAGTGAGACAGTACAAGACAAAAAGGGAGGAAAAGGGTCTATGCGCTAAAAAAAAGTATGCATATAAGACTTACACATGCCAAGGACATGTTGTGTGTCCAGCTACTCCGTTATTTGTTCATGGCAACTACTAACTCCAAACCATACCTAACTGCTTCCAAAGCAGCGATGCCAATGCATACCGGTAAAATAAAGCAGCCATTCGATTTCTAAAGCACACACCAATGGTGTCTTTGGGTAAGTGGAAAGGGAAATATGTATATTTGTGAGGAAAGATAGTTGTTTCTCTTGGTGGAAATAAATATCTGTATTTATGTCTAGATATCATTTAATTTATTTTATCACTGAATAATTGGTCTCAAGAGGGAACACCCTGAACCTGTCCTAAGTATTCCTAGACCTAAGTAGGCAATTGAACTAGTCTGTTCCATACGCTTAATTCCTACTGGTGGAAGCAGGAGACGAAGAAGTCACGAGAATGGGCTGCTGAGGCGTGGACTCATCCTGCCTAACTGCAGGCACCTAAGCGTGAGCTCCTTTATTGTGAGCTGAGTCTTTAAACCAGTGGTGAGTGAGAATCGTCTCGAGAGAAATTCGGCTCACCTGAGAACGTAGTAGCCCTCTGGAGATGCCTGGGTCTCTCCACTAAGGATGGGGACTACTCCACATGCTGAAAGTAATACAGGATGAATCTGAGCCTGGCCTCTAATCGCTGAGCCATTATCAGCTCTGCAGTGATTTTCTTGACTGTAACATTCAGGTTTTGGTCAGTCCAGCAAAAATACTAGAAAAAGAAGTAGTACTTTTTTTGGCATATCTCCTCCTTTCCCAGATTAAAGCCTTTATTTTGGAAAAAAGCTAATAATCTGGATATTCAGAATCACTTCTGCTAGTTTTGCCTTAGTGGAGCAGAAAATTAGCTAAGTACAATGGCAGCACTTGTAGCCTTTACTCAAGGAAATTCCTACTGAAGTTGGAAAGAGTTGTTTTTGAGTAAGGACTGAGTTGACTGAGCTATGTATTTTACTGTGCTGTTTCAGTGTGCAATACGGATATGGAAAAGATGTAGGTCCAAAATCTGGACAAGCAGCATATCTGAGAATTTATCATACGTAACCTACTACTTTGTGTTTTAATATTTAGCAGCATCTTTATGCGAAATGTTTTTAGAATTCTACTGTTTACATTTTCTCAGGCTTACGCATAACATGTAATAATGACCGTTGGAAATAAAGAAGCCTGACAGTGGACCCATTCACCTCTGTAATCCAGATTTTCTTAGAAGTATTGTGTAAGTGCCATGATGTTAGCAAAAAAAAAACCACACCCAAGCCAGAAAACCCACGGTATTTCTGTATCTGATAAGGCTGTTGATATGAGTAGGATGTTCCATAAGGCGAGGAGGAAAACATATAATGAATTGAATTTACGTGGAAGGAGAGGGTGGAATTGTCAGAGTAAGTAAAGAAATAACGGTTCTTGTTTATTCAGTGTTTCTGTTCAAAAAATGTTAAAAATGTTATAAATGTTTGTTTCATTACTTCTGTGTCAAGTCTCCTGCCCAGAATAAAGTTACTCTTGAAGAAATATTGACTAAAGTCTTGATCTTTTATTCAGTTTTTAATAAAAGCGCTTTAGTTTGGCTTTTGTTTGTTTGTTTAGTTGTGGGTTGTTTTTTTTCAAGTAAGCCTTACATTTGGTGCCTTCTCGGAGGGGTACCGCCTCCTGGCAGCCGTGCTCTTTCTGCAAGTTCATTGGCCACGTGATTCGAGTCTAAGCATGTACTTTCTGCAGTATACTCTGAGCTCTGTGTAAAGCTAATAGTTTAGTGCTTGGATGTCAAGCACTGAGTTAAATAACGCTGAATTAAAACAGGTAACACCTCGGAAGAAGGACAGGCAGTTGGACTAGATGATCATTGTACATCCCTTCCAACTGAAATAGTCTGTTCTAAATTGTTCTGTGTCTTGTGTCACCTCTCCTCAGCCTTCTCCCACTGCTTTCAAGGCAGTAGAAGCTGAAGACAGCTGATAACTTACAAACCCAGCCCTTTTGCTAACTGTTCAAGTGGGCTTAAAATGAATTGTACAGGTGATGAACCAGGTGAAAAATACAAGTGCAAAGATGCCAGGCTGTAACCGGCGTGTGCTCGAGGATTCGTAGGTGACTGGGGGATGGAAGTGGGAGAAGTGATAAACAGCGTGGCCCGCAGGGGTGGATATATTGTATTAGCATTCCCCATCGCACACGCACCACCCGCCGCAGTGTGAATAAGGGTATGTGCTAAGTGGAGTTTCTGCGGGCTGGAAAAGGCTGTTTCTGGTGGGTTTAGCGGTGCAAAACAATGGCAGACTGCCCCATGCAGTGCCTCACTTGGATGTGTCTGCAGTCTTGGAAGCTTGACTACCCTACGTTCTCCTACAAATGGACCTTGAGCTTGTTTGGAGGTTCTAGCAGGGGAGCGCAGCTACCGTATACCCTTGACCGATGAACGGTACGTCTCTATCGGGGAAGGTCGTCCTCCTCCGCCGGGGCCCGCGGCTGGGGGGGGGGCGCACAGGGGGGGGTGGGGGAGGAGGGGGACCCCCGCCTAGCCAGCCAGATCAGCCGAATCAACCCTGGCGATCAATGGGGTGACAGATGTCGCAGCCAGATCGCCCTCACATCCAGAACACAACTCCGTCCGCAGCGGCATATACGGGTCACGACGCCCGACCATCTTCACCTTATGGCGATGCCGCCGAAGCCGAATATTCGGTCACACACACCATGGAATCATCTTTCTCTGACGCCAAGACGTTTCGGGCTAAACAGTTCAAAAATTTTAACGTTTTTTTGGCTACGTTTTCCTGCAAGAAGCCTTTGCGAAATATGCAAAGTAGCGGCTTCCCATTGGCGGCTGTCCCGCTTTGTCACCGCCT